AGTTACTTTTTTATGGAGTAACGCAATATTGTAATGCATTACTTTTAAAAGTAACTTTCCCCAACACTGGCTATCACTGAATTGTAATTTACACATACGTTGTATTTTGCATTATATCAGGATAGCACTGGGCTTTATAACAGTCAAGCTCAGGATCATATACAGTAGTCAAATACAGATCATTTTGGCGATTAGATGATCAGGATTTTGCTGCCTGGTTTCTGCGACCCATACGGCAGGGTTTGTTCTAATTGAGCTCACTCTCTCAGCTCGGGTCGTTATATTAAAGATGAATGTAATGCGCAGCTGAGTTTCTCTTCATCGGGAGCGATGCGTTCTCATCTCCTCCAGGTTTGCAGTGAGCCGTATGTTTCTCTTTCAGCTGAATAATTCTGCCAGCAGACGCTTTTATTTCATATCGAGAGGCAGTGAACTCCAACCTGATTTCACATCTTCCCACTCAATAAATGAGCTCTGAGTTAAAGCCGTGGGCTTCTGCAAGCCTCAGTACACGAGTGTTTCTCATTTATTATCTTCAGACGTCTTCGATGTGCAAGCGCTTTATAGTCGTATGGAATTTACATCTGTTTCATTCTCAAAGAGCTGTTGATGTCTGGTGAGCAGTGTTGGGGAAAGTTACTTTTAAAAGTAATGCATTATGATATTGCGTTACTCCATAAAAAAGTAACTAATTACGTTACTTAGTTACTTTTTATGGAAAGTAATGCATTACGTTACTTTTGCGTTACTTTTTAAATCTGGACAGGGCTTGCTTGTTTGTTTTTAAAATAAAAAAGTTCTATTTTTGGCAAATATAAAAGCGTTTTCACACCAAAAGTGAAATGAATAAGCCTCAGGCTGAAGGGAAAGTACATTTACGTCCGTACAGTAGAACGCAGAAGACGACATTTCAACACACTTCAGCAATAAACAAAGACACACAAATGTTTGTCTAGAGTAATTTGTGCTTATTAGTACGGTTGAACTGGATCATCGAAGGTCAGAAGTTAATAGAATGGGATTAAATACATAAAGCAGATTTGTGTTGTTTAAACATTTAATTATTGCAGGTTTGCGTCATATTCTGAGTTGCATTATTTTTATTCATTTTGAGGAATACTGAATCTGTGTTTTGTTTTGTTTTTTGTGTGAGTGAGATGAATTAATGCATATTCATATTTATTTTAGAACTACAG